TATCCGTTTGTCATAAAAATTTGTCTTTCCACTTTTTTCCCAAGACTACAAATACTCGAGTACAAAGTACAGTAACTGGCAGTTTATTGTAAGTTATTTGTATTGGTTCGCTGTTTTAAAGTTAGAAATTCGAATTACTCGAATTTATAACGTTAAAATCGTTCCTTTGTCTCAAATATCTGTTTGAGTCAGACAAATTACTTTCGCTTTTTCCTTTTCAATAAACTGAATTTTCAAAAGGAAAATTATTCACTTTCGGATGTTAAGTTTCGATATAAAACGAACGATTGTAATGAAAGCTGAAATATAATCGGGTGAAAACGCTCCTAAACCGGGAAATTTCTAACATATTAGGCGAGAAATCCTTTAAAGATTGGTTTAAAACACGATTTTAAGAAAAGGAAATGAAACTAAAAGTAAGGTTATAAAGAAACTACTTTGCCAGTGGAACGAACGGGGAAAAATTACCGTTTGTCCGAAGAGTTTGTAATGTTTGAAAATGCAAAATGTTGTGCTATTTAGCAATTGATAATCGATTTAAAATTCAGTTTCAGTAGATGAATTAAATATCACTCATAAATGTCGACAAAATTCTGTCCATTGTAAACTATGTAATCCGAAATTTGCCTTTTTTCCTTCGTAAAATGTTACTTTTTTATAATAAATTTGTGAGTTAACAAAGATAAAGAAAATTGTGGAATACCATACTCGTGTCTAGTCGAAAAATGCATGTTCCTGTACTTAAACTATATAAAAGTTATGTATTTAACTATTTCTTACATATTATACAAGTAATAAAGTTTCTGGAATCGGACATTGTTATTACTAATGATTGTGATTAAATCATTCATAGTAGGAAAAGACTTGTATTAAACAATATACAGGCCCTTTAGCATAAAATATGGAATTGATAAAGGTGGATATTGAGCAGCAAAGCAGACTACTCTCTATTGGGATACAATGATAAAAAGTGTTAACTGAGAAATAACTAATAAATTTTCTGTGATATTATAGGAAAAAAATTATTACACAAAATTACTTTTGTTTCTGATTCATAATTGAAAAATATTACGTATATATTAATGTTTACGTATATTAAAGTTTTATTAACTATTAAATACGACACAAAAGTCAATGCAAATAATTAATATAACGATTATTCGTTATTTACAGTGAACAGTGCACGAAGTCTTGTTCAAATTTTGTTAATTACTCGTGTTAAATGTATTGTGTTCAATAAGTATTAAGTATAGTATATTGTTATTTATATACAGGAATTAAATGATTCGACACAGTCAAAAATCAAATAATAGAATCAATAAAAGGAAAAACTTGAAATAATTTTTATTGATAATTTATATCAATACAAGCGTTTCAGTTTTTAAATGATAAATTTTAAATTTTGAGAACAAATATATTAACAAATGAATATAAGACGTTGAATCAACTTCAAGATGGTAAATGAAAACGACTCTCTGATGAGAGAAAACGGAAGATGACTCGATCGTGCAACGATGTAAAAAGTCTTTAAAACGGTTCAGAGGAAGAAAATGCTTTATCTTGTTAAATTTTGCGTTTATAGTTTTTAATTTTAAAACATCCGAACTTTGCATTTTATTCCTTTGATTCTTCTCTGGTGAAAACTTCGCTGTCACTAAATCTATGAACACTCAACGCCATTTTATGCAAAACCACATCTTCCAATGAGCAACGAAGATTACTTTTTTGATTTTGTACAAGAAAAAAGCAAACTTGAAAGTCTGCGAAAGTAATATAAAAAGAGACTCGCACAGTTTCTCTCTTCCTAAAAAAAAAAAAAAAAAATAGAAAAACATTTCATAAATCAAAAATATTAAAAATGTTTCATAGAATTATATAAAAATTTTATTATTATTTAAATATTAGTGTACTTTCTCTTAGTGAAAAAACATATAAATAAATGAAAAAACTAGTTATTTATTGAAATTCTGTTGTTATATATTATTAAAAATAGATGAACATTATATATTTACGAATGGACTGATTAAATGAATTTCATGACTTAAAGATTTGCGATAAAGAAAGACTTTAGTAAATAAATATAAAAATTGTACTTAATTTTTAAACAATTTTAGTCGTTCTTAAATAAAAATAATTTTAAAAATCATCAACATCAATATGTGATATGTTCATTTTAAACTCTCAATTTTTAGATAATATAATATTGTTACATTTATAATTTTTAATAAAACACAATGTTTTCTATGTGAATAAATACAATATTATTTTTTAAATTTTGAAAAAATGAATTAAAAATGAAAATCATAAAATTAATATGTGATCGTGAGTGAGAGTTTAGCATAAGATGAAGATCTATTCATTAAACTAGTAAAAGTAAAAGTGAAAGATATTTTCTAACCTCTTTCTTAGATTTTGCAGATAATTCCTCTTCTGGTAAACTTGAATAATCGACATCCACAACTGAAAATCAAATGATATTGTAAATTAAGCATACTTGTCGTATTTTTCTCTTAATAAAAATTATAACACATCATTAACTATAAATTCAATAACAACAATAAACTGCAGCAGAATGGATACGCTTCTCAAACATCCAGTTACGTTACCCGTCAAAAATCAATACAATATTCAAATTATCTTAAAATAATAATTAGCCACTTATGCATGACAAAGCGCACAGAGTGAAACAATCATTGATTGAATTCAAATAGTTAATTAAACAGTAATCACAAAAATAAGATATTTTTTATTTAAAAAACGAAATTTTAGAGTATTTTTCAATCTAATGTCATTAATAATACGTATAATAAAAATTATACCAAACAGCCTAACAAGACTAAAGATATGCAATTAATTCTATGTTTAATTATTTATTAAAATTACTTCATAATTACTTAAATACTTGAAATATACTTTGGATCTACGAATATTATCTAATCATTATGTAAACATTTTTTATGCAAATGAATTTAAAACTTGTATAATTGTTTAATTATGAAAAAAGTCTGAAAGGTATTGAATTATAAAAATAGTCCCAAACATAACTTTAACTATTTATTGATATGATCTTACCTTTTTCAACTTCAATTGCACCTTCAGCATAATTCTTATCAAGTTGTAAATGCTTTACAATGTCAAAATTAGATTGTAATATTTCTTTGTTTACTTTATTTTGATTTTCTACTTCCTCAAATCCGTTACTAAATGTATTCCAACGATAAAACTCATTAGAAACGTTTGGCGTTTCATCGATAGATAAATTTGAATTGCATAGTTTGACATCTAGAGAAGTCAATGATTGACTTTTTTCTACTAATTGAGATACGTCTGCAACATACTTCTCTTCTTCAGCAATTATTGATTCATTGTTTTCAATATGACATTGGTTCAATAAATCAGTTCCGCTGATGTTGACATCACACTTTTCATAATCAATGATAGTATCGGAATGAATGCTACCATCATTTTCTGATCCATCGTCTCCAGATTCAGGTTCCTCTTCTTCATAAATTACTTCTGAAACTAATGAATAGCGCTCGAGTTCGATAAAATCTCTAAGCAAAGGCCGTTTTTTATACTCTTCATAAATACTTGACGTGATTTCTTCTGGAGATAGAGGAACATTTAGATTTTTCTGTTCAGCAGACGAAATCAAAGAATTACTCTTTTCTGCTAAATGAGATAAGTCTGCAACAGATTTTTCTTCTTCGGTAATTACTGATGCATTGTTTTCAGTATTACAGTTGTCCGAAACATCAGTTGTGCTGATGTTAACATCACATTCTTCATAATCAATGAAGATGGTGTCTGAATGAAAGCTACCATCACTTTCTGATCCATCGTCTCCAGATTCAGGTTCCTCTTCTTCATAAATTACTTCTGAAACTAATGAATTGCGCTCGAGTTCGCTAAAATCTCTAAGCAAAGGCCGTTTTTTATACTCTTCATAAATACTTGACGTGATTTCTTCTGGAGATAGAGGAACATTTAGATTTTTCTGTTCAGCAGACGAAATCAAAGAATTACTCTTTTCTGCTAAATGAGACAAGTCTGCAACAGATTTTTCTTCTTCGGTAATTACTGATGCATTGTTCTCAGTATTACAGTTGTCCGAAACATCAGTTGTGCTGATGTTAACATCACATTCTTCATAATCAATGAAGATGGTGTCTGAATGAAAGCTACCGTCACTTTCTGATCCATCGTCTCCAGATTCAGGTTCTTCTTCTTCATAAATTACTTCCGAAACTAATGAATTGCGCTCGAGTTCGCTAAAATCTCTAAGCAAAGGCCGTTTTTTATACTCTTTATAAACACTCGATGTGGTCTCTGCTGGAGATAGAGGAACATTTAGTTCTATCTCTTGATCAGATTTCTGAAAATTAAGATTTTAAAAGATTTATTAAGTATTAAGCTTAATAAATTTGTTTTCACCTAAAATGAGATAAATTACTGCTAAATATAATCTATAAGTGAAATATTGCATCAATTATGAACATATCAATTTTAAAAACTAAACTACGAGCAACTTCATAAATAATATGAATTGTAACTTATATTTATTAAATGCGTTTTAATATAAGAACGTCGTATTTATCAATAATCATCTTCCAAACGACAAAGAAAATAAGAAACTTGTCTGAATTATTTTATTAAATTTATACTTACATCAGAGTATTCTTCTGTATCATTAGATTCATCAAAAATATCGGAAAATGTAGTGTTTTTAATTNAAATGCGTTTTAATATAAGAACGTCGTATTTATCAACAATCATCTTCCAAACGACAAAGAAAATAAGAAACTTGTCTGGAATTATTTTATTAAATTTATACTTACATCAGAGTATTCTTCTGTATCATTAGATTCATCAAAAATATCGGAAAATGTAGTGCTTTTAATTATACATTCCCTGACTTCTGGTTCATTGTCATCCAGAACGTCTTTTTCTGAATTAAGGACTGGATGAATATTTTGTTTTAAATTACTCTCAGAAATTCCACTTCCATCAGCTGATTCAGAAACTAAAGTATAAAAAACAGAAAAATTAAAAATTTACTCCAGGACAACACGTTATTATAATAGTAACGGGCGTAAAGAGAAAAAACTATCAAATCATTAATGAAAAAGAAATTTTTCAGATTTATCTGAGCGTATTTATTTACTTTTATGGTTTTTTTCTATTTATAACTTTATATCAAAGTTTAAAAATTCATATATATATTGTT